CATGATTCTATATATAACCAATGCCTTTACTAAAGTACCCTTGAAGAACCCCTTTTTTTAAGGTAGTAGTACAAACCCAATTCCAGAAAATTTGAGACAGTATGTAAAATGCAAATAAAACCAGAAAGCAGTCAAATCTACTTGGACCTGCATTTAAACAAAAGCAGTACAAAGACGAGTTCTTTAATGTTTTATCTTAACAACTTGATTGTTTTTTGTAAATATATGCTCATTCTGAAATCGATGCCTGCAACACATTCCAAAAAGTTGGGACTACAGCAATTTAAGACTAGCAACGTTGTGAAAACATCTTCAACAGGCTTGGGTACAAAGAGAAATATTCAAAAAACACTGTCGTTGTGAGTAAGGATGTATTTAGGCTCACCGGTTTGCAAAACATATATCAGCAAATAATGTCAGTTTTATAATAATGTTCCTTAGTGAGCAGTTGGAAGGATTTTAGCCATTTCATCCTCTACAGTACATAATATCATCAAAATATCATCAACTGAATGCCTGAAACCTTTAATCCCTCAGACGGCCCTGAATTAAAAACCTGCATGTTAGGAATACTCTGAAAAACCATTATCAACAAACAATATCTGTCACTACATCCACAAATGTTAAGACTGTACTACGCAAAGTGGAAGCCATATATGAACAACGTCCAGAAACGCTGCCGACTTCTGGGCTCGAGCTCATCTGAAATGGACTGATGAACAGCAGAAACATGTGTTATGGTCTGCTGACTCAACCTTTCAGATTGTTTATTGAAGACATGGACGTTGTGTTTTCGGGGCCAAAGAAGAAAATAACCATCCAGATTGTTACCAGCATAAAGTTCAAAAGCCAACATCTGTCATGGTATTGAGGGTATTAGTGGGTAACTTGCACATCTGCAAAGGCACCATTAATGCAGAACACATTTTAGATCAACATATGCTGACGGTCTGTTTCAGGGATGTCCATGCTTATTTCAACATGACAAGACCACACCACATTCTGCACATGTTACAGCAGCATGGCTGCATAATCAGATATTACAGGAGCTAGGCTGGCCACCTTCATCCCAGACCTGTCTCCCACTAAATATATGTACAAAATACAACAAAATATTCATACAGTTGCATAGCTGAATACTTGTGTGCCAAAAGAATGGCAAAAAAATCTGCTTTCAAAAGTGGATTGGTTTGTGTCTTTAGTCCCCAAACAATTACGTGTTTTTAAAAAGAAACCTTATGTAACACAGTGGTAAACATGCTCCTGTCCCAACTTTTTAAGAATGTGTAGCAGACATAAAATTTGTAATGAGCACATATTTACACAAAACAAAAAAGTTTATTAGGTAAAACATACAATATTGTGTTTTTGTACCATTTTCAATTTAATACAGCTCAAGCAGCATGTACACATCACTGCATCCTGTTATTATTAGCATTTCACACCTGTGCCAAAGTTTTTGGAACTGGATTTTTGGATAGATTTTTTTAAGGAGTGAGCACTTTCGACTTTAGGGATTTGTGTTTGTTTTGGTGTCAAAAAGCTGTCATTGCATGTGTAAGAGTACAGAAAAAGAAGCAAAATGTCAAAGAGGAATCAGAGGAGTGATCTAAGCATTTACATCTCCAGACAGGCCAATAACCTGGACCATATGTTATTAACGGGCAACTAAAACATTAGGTGGACCACGACAATAGACCTTTATTGTTTACATGATCATAGCTCAGTTAGATTGTTTACATGATCATAGCTCAGTTAGATTAGCAGTTGCAGTGAGAGTAATATCGAAACTACTCATGTTCATGATACTTACTTAATTACTTTCATTTATCAAAACGAGGCATCTTGCATGGGCTGAAAAGTGTGATGGGATGCTTAAATATTTTTTTTGAAGTCACTTATGAATTCTAAGGATTTTGAGGGCTTATTTTGTTGTAAAAGTTGTACTTGAGAACTTGTATATGAACTATGAACAAAATTGAAAGCCTGAACTCAAACAGAATAGTTTTCAATGTTTTTCTTTATATCTAGACTTTGTTGTTCTGTGCACTGATTAACAAAAATAATTATTAGACTGTCCAAGTCTATGAAGAAGAGTAGCTCAGTGTAATAAACTAGTAGTAAAATCTTCTCTTTTGAGTACAGAACACCTACTCTTGAATCTGGTTTTACTTTTTCAGCAGAACAGTGTCAAGGGCAAATATCACATTCCCTAGTTTGCCCATTAAGAAAATCTCCCTAATTTTGTTCCACTACATTTCCTCACTAATTTAATGTGCAAAGTCAATATGTCACCCTGGTGGGTAACTTAATTAGGTCACAAGCAGTTCTAACCTCTTCACTCTTAATAGTCTACTCTCTGTGTGATTGGCTCATGTAGTTATGATGGAAAGTTAATTACACAAACATACCCGCCTGCATGTAATAAGAATTTGGTGCTGTTTATTTGTCCTATAAGATGGATCACAGTGGGAAAGCCAGGGGATTCCCTTTCATTCACTCCTAGGTGGCACGGGATTGAGTTCCTTCACGGTGGATGACTCCATTTCCCTGGTTAGAATGTACAGATCATACACTAATCCTTGAAATTCTATCTAAGAGAAAGATCAGCATTCCAACTGAGTTTAGTCTGGAAGAATGCTGAGTGGGAGTTGGCGGAGTGCTTGGTCTACTACTACATATCATGCAGATCTGTATTTAATTGCATAGGGAGTTACGCAATGAATTACATTTACATGCAATTTACATTTTGCATCAAAAGGATCAAGTCTGCATGTTAACTTTTGTTTTTGTTTGGATGTCAAGAAATGGAATAATAACTATTAATCAAATCCAAATCATTATAAACTCTATATACACTATGTGCTATGCTTTATAACATTATAAAATATCTTTATTGGCTAATAGCAAAATATATCAGCATGTGAAATTAGAGTGTTTTGTATGGTGGCCGAGAAGACCCATGCTACAAATACAGAAAACACATGCAACTCGAGAAACGCTGCAAAGCCAGTCACAACACAACAGAGGTGTTTCTGGAGGACAGTCAAAGAGGACGAAGCCATTCAGACTTTTAAATTCTGTGCAGCACAAACATTTACCTGTAAAAGTTGTCTTTTATTTGAGTAGATTACTGCTATCACTGTATCGTAATGGGGGTTAGCGGTAGAGTGTAAGTTTAAACGTTTAACTAGTAATACCAGATTAACTACCACAGCACAGCTATGACATCTCAGACAGCAAACTAGGCAGCCAGGTTAACCATGCACTGGGGATGTGAGTGTCCACGGTCTTATCTGCTTCCATCAGTAATTTTCCATCATGGATATTCCATCCCCTTTGAGCCCTTTGAGTCTTCCAGAGACATTTCTGTTGTTTTGTAGCTCACTTCCGTTGTGTTGTGACTGGCTTGCAGCGTTTCTGAAGTTGCACGTTTTCTGTTTTTGCAGTGCATTTGTGAAATGTAGCATCAGTATCGTCATTTTGATGAAAGTGCTTTCTGCGTTTTGCAGCTCATTTTTATTTGCAGTTTGTTGGGTCTTCTCAGCCACCGTAGTTTTCTATTCTGCTGCATTTTCTGTCACCATGTAAAAGAGGCACAATGCTTACTTTATTGTTCCTTTATCTGAGCGCATGAGATAATTCAGAACACAATTGTTAAGCCCTTATTGTTTTGTTTAATCAGACTAACAATAAAACATGACTGATGTGTGACCTATTCATGTTTTCTTGTTCAAATGGTAGTTTGTGAGACAAACTGAATTAAAATCTGAGCAGAATTGAATAAAATCTGCTGTTAGATCACATTCTTTACAAAAAACACAGTAATGACACTGAGAACCTGCATTATTGCAGAGAAGTGCAGATTGAGCAGCAGAAATGCCCATGTTTTTTGCGTCTGCCTTAAAGCGGTTTGGGTTAGGTAAGGTTCTGTTTGTGGGACCTAAATGCTCTGTATCTACACTATCAAAACTAACTCGCTTACATAATGAAAAAGCACTATCAGCTTACAATTTCCAGCAAAATACTCTGAGTAGTAACTCATAGTGAGCAAAGCATCCACACTGAGAACCTTGATGAAGGCCCACTCTTGAGAAGCCTGTGTGGGCATCTGTAGGATGCGGGCGACAGCGTCAGATGTGATTAAGAGGTCCGATGTTGGGCCAGCGGCTACGTTCTGTCACCACAAGTTAACCTCAACATGCTCCCCACATGTGTGGGGGGGGGGAATCAATTAGAGACACTTTAAGCAACTGTGGCCCCCTTGGAGTCTGTCCAAGATGATGATAGATATAAAGAAAAAGACAGCAAAGTAACGGAGAGAGCAAGAGCAGGGCAAGCACTTAATGCAATAAAGACAAATAGACTTAATACAGCAGGTTGTTCACAGTCAGGAGGATCTTGTATTTAGCCCAACTGAGGAGTGATGACTTAAAGGCAGCCTGCATGCAAGCAGATACGGGAATGAGATATGCCAGTGATTTATTTCATAATTTGCCAGCTGTTGCAAAGCGTGCACTTCATAATCATCCTCCAAGAGGTGTGAATTTATCAAAATGTCAAGCAACTGAGCTGGAAATAATTACGTTCTTCAAATGAGCTCTCAGTGTATAGTGTTCGTGTGTCATTGTGAAGTATAGAATGGTGAGATTTAGATTTTTTTTGGTAGAAAAGACTCAGCTATATCAAATTACAATAAACTTGAGCTTAGTCACATTTGTTTTCATTCTATCCACCAAGGTAGATGGTCTTGTAAGCAGCAGAAGCAGTCCAAGGGCACCGACCTTTCTTAATGGGTTCCTCAGGTGTTTATAGTTCAACCCCCCTGTGCCTCATTCACTCACTCTATTGGAGCTTTGTTATGCTTGGAAAGCTTAAATAATACGCACTGTTCACAAAACCGCATGCATCTCAAACATTCGGTCCATGGTTTCACACAGGAGACATACATTCATCATCACATCAAAAAAGAAAAGGGCATGCTTGTGCAGACCACATACCCGCGGCCCCTGGTCGCCTTGATCACCCTATAAAAGAAAAGAGGAAAAAAAGAGAGAGAAGTCATTTTGTAATATCATGCCAGAGATGATAATGATCACTTCAAACCCAAGGTTTTCACAGGCAAGAGATGATGGGCAAGTCCCTTAATGCCCAGTCAAGTCTCGAGTATCTGGTGTTGAAGTCCATTTGGACTCTTGAGTCACCAGAGTTTGAGTCTGAGTCAAGTCTTGAGTCACTGGGGTGCAAGTCGAGTCAAGTCTTAAGGCACTGGGGTTCGAGTCTGAGTCGAGTCTTGAGTCTCTGGGGTGCGAACCTGAGTTGAGTCTTGAGTTTCTGGGGTGCAAGCCTGAGTTGAGTTTTGAGTGCCTGGGGTGTGAGTGTGAGTCTGAATCGAGTCTCAAATCACTGAGATACGAGTCAGAATTGAGTCTCAAGTCTCCAGGGTGTGAGTCCAAGTTGAGTCTTGAGTTTCTCCGGGTAGAGTCAGAGTCGAGTTTCTGGGCTGCGAGTGTAAGTCGAGTCGTGAGTCTCTCTGGTATGAGTCAGACTCGGTCTCTGGGATGCAAGTCTTGAGTCTTCAGCTGAGAATTTTTGTTCAATCTCACTGCTAGCTGCAGCTATTGTACTGTACAAAAGTATGTCTTTAAACATAGCACAGATATAGAGCTTGAAGGTTTTTTGTACATTCATCGTTTGAAGCTGTATCGAACCTGATGCGTGAGAACATTATTACTGTAAAGACAGTGCCTGACTGTACACACATAAAATTAAAAGTTTTATTTATTTATAGCATTAAGTACTGGTGGGCCAAATTTAATTAGTTTTGTTCATGTTTTTTATAGGCTGAAATTTCACAAGTCTTAAGTCAAGTCACTAGTCATTTAAGGTCTAGTCTGAGTCGAGTTGCGAGTCAGTCAACATGACTTGAATCTAGATGCACAGAAAAGCACCATCAAGACATAATTCAAAGCACATTGATGAAGTAAGCTAATACCCACAGCCTCAAGAATGCAGTGCGGCTGAGGGTAAAATCACTTATGATAATACACACTGATGTCGACAGGGGCTGGAGGTTGAAGAGGGGTGCCTCATGTGTGGGTCGAGGGGAGTAAGTGTGAGTATATTTGTGGTGTATGTGTTTGGGGGTTGGGGGGTGTTAGGGGCTCCTTGCTTATTCTGCTGTGGCTGAAAAGGGGGAACAACCACCATATCATTTAGTCTTTTGGCTTCTTTTGTATCTGCAAACGCAGGCCTGCCCGAAGCTTTCTCTGTGTACGCGCCAGCAGCACAGTGTGACTAAGCAGTGGTGTGATTTAAAATGACTCAGCCTACATTTCTCTAAGGCTCATTTTGGACACTCACTGGCATAGGCTTTAAGAAGAGCAGCAGATGGATTATCTCATCTCTGCTTATTAAAGGTGTAAAGGTGAGGGGGAAAAACTCTCTAAAGGTAATGTAGGCGTCGTAACACGGCTGTTAGTTTCTTGTGTTTTCCTCCAATTTTACAAATGTGATGATATTAAACTACATCAGCTCAGTCTGGGGACCACTTTGGAAATGACTTCAAGAGCTGTAGTGAGAAATGCTGGTTACAGTAGGTTATGATCTCTAACTGCTTCACAAAGACATGAAGAAGCATCTTCAGCAATACTGAGACTCATTCTGTGTCCCATGTCTATAAGCCATGTCCATAGCTCCTGCTTCTCTAAAGCTGATGGCAGACTCACAACCATACACTACGTTATTTTTAGCCTGATCTGAACCCCTTCGGATGTTCCAGGTCACAAGCTCAATTGGACTGGGTGAGACGGATCTGACAGCATAAGAGGGGAATGAGCTAATCATTAGCCCTCCGATTGAGCTCTGAAGAGAATTTGATGTGGTCAGCGATGTAATTGAACAAGTATTTCAGGCAGCAGCCAAAAAGAGGGCTAGGAGAAAGGAAAAAAGGTGAGATGTGCATGCACAGAGGAGCTGCTTATTTTTAATTGCACTATTTATAACTTAATCTGTATGTGCCTTATGTCACTTTATTGTTATTTTAGGGACCTTCTTATATTTATATTATTTTTTTATTTCTATTTTTCTACAATTACTGTTTATTTTTACGGTTAGTGTTTAGTGTTTATTTAGTGTCTATTTAACTCACACATTTGCTATTTACTGTCTATTTAATGTTATTGCTACACCATGGGGTCTGAGAGTAACGCAATTTCAATACTCTGCATGTCCTGTACATATACTGACAATAAAGCTGACTTGACTTGGTTATGTGTGTTGTACCCTCTTGTCTACTCTGAAAATTGGCACTGGAACACACTGCAAAGACTACAGCTGTTTTCCGACACATACATACTTAATATGTCTGTGCGAAAAGGGGACAACTCTCTATGTAGCAGGAATTGGTAGTAATCTGGAAAACTGTAAAAAAAAATATATTGATTGAATACCTACCAAGCTTCAAATGTCTGTGTTTAAGCTAAAGCTGCACTCTTAGAAAAAAAACTGTTCCTAGCCAAACTGTTCCTGGGAAGAGGACATCTTCAGTAGTTAAAGAACATTATTGTTAAGTGCCGTCAAGTTGTTTCTGACTCCTGGCGACCATACGGACAGTGTTTCTCCAAAATATCCTGTCATCTGTTTGGGTCTTCAGACTTCTGAATGGCTAGTTCGTGATTCCTCTGATTGCATCCATCCATTGCTGGTCGTCCTCTTCCTCTTTCACTTTCAATTCTTTCAGGCATAATGGTCTTTTCCAATGAATTGTTTTTCCCAGAATATGTTCAAAATAAGAGAGCTTCAGTTTGGTCTGGGTTTCAGACAGAGGCTTGATTTGTTCAAGGATCCATTTGTTTGTCTTTACCAACACCAGCGTTCAAAGGCATCTATATTTTTCCAGTCTTGATTTTTTTTTTTAATTGCCCACCTTTCACATATATAAAAAAAAATGGAGAAGGGCACAGCCTGGATAATTTTGATATTTGTAGAAACAAATCTCGCTTTAAAGATCTTCATTCTTGTACTGCTGAGTGCCAGTCTGTGACATATCTTGAGTGCTGGATCCTCTGTTGTTCATAACAGATGCCAAAGCTGTCCACCATTTTCCACATCTTCTCCATCAATGGAAGTAGTTTTTCTTGTCATAACCTTAGTCTTCTTTAAATTGAGCTGAAGTCCCATCTTTTCACTCTGTTCTTTAACCTTTGCTATAAGAGTCTTCAGGTCTTTCAGATTTTCTGCTATGAGCGTATTTTGCTAACATCTGCATATCGAAGATTTTTCTTCCACCAATCCTGAATCCTTGATCATTTTCTTCTCTCAAATGTTCTGCATACACGAAGAACAGGTATGGTGACAGTATGCAGCCTTGCCACTTGTCACTCCTTTTCCGATGTATAACCATTCTGTTTGTCCATTTTCTGTCCTGGCTGTCGCTTGTTGATCAGTGTAGAGATTCTTTATTAGACTGAAATGCTTATTCATTTTCCTGAGGACATTCCATAATTTTATGTGGTCGACACAGTCAGAGGCTTTGCTGTAGTCAGTAAAACACATGCTGACTTCCTTCTTGAACTCCTTTTGAACTTATACTTATTTTTCAATAATCCAGCATACACCTGCTATTATATCTCTTGTTCCACTGCTTTTCCTGAATCCTGTTTGCATATCTGACAGTTCTCTTTTGATTTAAGGCTGTAGTCTGCATTGAATGATTTTAAGCATAATTTTACTGGCATGTGATATTAAGGAAATTGTGCCATAGTCTGCACACTCTTTTTCTCCTTTATTTAGGATTGGGATATAAACTGATCTCTTCCAATCTTCCAGCCACTGAGCTGTTTTCCAGATTTGTTGGCATAATTTGGTCAGTACTTTAACTGAATCTTTTTCAAAATCTTGAAATATTTCTGTTGCAATGTTATTGATTCCTGTGTCTTGATTCTTTGGCAATAATCATTCCATTGCACTTTTATTTTTTTTAAGCTGACTCCATGACTCCACCAGTTTTTCACATAAATTCTTATGTGAAAAACTGTTGCTTGAATCACTCATTCAGTTACATCCCTGACCATCTCAGACTATAGGACTCCTAAGTCATGAAAATCAAACATGTTTAAAAATATTGGAGGGCCTCTGATCACTCTGAAGCTCGAAGATTGACTAATTTCCCTTATCACACTACCGGATCCTCTGAGCCATCAAACACTTTCAAGTCCCCACCTGGAAAATTACTTCAGATTGTGAAAATTTGTTGGAAGGGGCAAATTGGGGTAAAAATCGGGCTAAAAATTGTGCAGTGTAGGCCCCGTTTAAGGAGCCAAATGTCTTACCAGAAACTGCCAATACTTCTTGCTAATTGGTAAACATACTTTTGTGTATACAGTGTGTCAAAGTGAAAGAGGTTTAATATATTGTACCAGCAACCCATATTTTAATGCCATGAGCACATGGCCATGTGACTTTAGATTGAGAGTAATTCATGCTTGATGACCTGCGTTAGGCATGGCTGTTGAGCTGGCAGGTCTTCAGAGAACAGTCTGTTTTGGACTCGGTGGTTTGCGGTGAAAGATACAACAAACACTAAATGGCAGTGACTGGGCTGAGATGAGTGCCGAATCTCTCAACAGGTGGATCTAATTTAGCTAACTGTCAATTATCCACTTCTTGTGGACAGTTATTTAAACCCTAATTTCCCCAGGCTTTTGCTCATCCAAATGCTTAAGGATGTTTTTTATGTCTCTTTATAGTTGCGTTCATGTTTTAAACTAATATTCAGGTTCACAGGAAGAGTTATGATGGAAAGGGTACATCATGGAAATTGTAACTTTCAGCCTTGCTTTAGCAATGCTATGCCCAGCCTTATCAAGTGACTCATAAAAGCCTCTCATTTTTGCCTAAATGATACAGTTACCAACCAGTCAGTGAAAGGTTTGTGGCTCTTTTCACGATGTCCGTCAAGAAACTCCAGCGGCATCTTTCCACGCTGTGTGAGCTGAGGAAACCTCACATATTTGCATGGTTTTAATGCATGGTTTTAATCTTTCCGCATTGGAGCTTCATTGCTAACGATTGGTCGCCTGGTCTACACTCTAATAAAGAGACAGTGTGGTTATTTCTCATGCTCGGCATTCATTTTATAGAGGGGCGCTCGGCGAAGCGTTAAAGCACTTCAGCCTGGGGCCTGGTGTGAAGGCAATAATGTAGCGCACAGTGGATTTGTGAACGATGTGGGGATTTAGATATTCCGAAATGAGCCTTGAGGTCAGGGCCACTTCACATTGCAATGGAATTGGCTACGAAGTGTCATCCAAATACATTCCTTATGGAACAGAATCTGTTTAGGACCAAGGTGAAGGCATAACATGGGGAAAAATGGATTTCACAGGGGATGGACAAGAAAGGGCAACTGTGGTGGTGTACATGCTAATAAAATGTAAGTGTCATAAAAGAGAATTTGTCATTGAAAATAATGTGCCAAATTCTGTTCACGGTTTGTGTATCATGGGATATATATTATCCATGCTGTCTTCTCTCTAATCTTCACCATCTATTAATTTATCTTTTAAACCAAAACAGCTGAAGGAGTATTAATTAAATTTTCTTAATTAAATTTCTCTTAATAGATAGAATCATCAGAAACATGGCTTGGCTTGAAAAAGACAAACTGATGACAATTTGAATTTCTGACATAGAAAATTCAGCTTTGATTCTTGTTAGACAACACACCCTGTTAGATAACTGCTGTAAGGAGAATGCTTACCTTATCACCTTTTGGACCAGGTGGACCCTGTTAGGGAGAAACATAAGGTATTGTTTACTCTTAGAAAGAATTGCTGTGCATGCAGTATGAATCTTATACTTATGAAATATCATTAGCCACAATTTTCCACCAACAAATGAGTCCCTGATCTAGTCTTCTCTTATTAACTGAAAGCTTTTGTTTAGAGGTAATTGTACCCAGCTGAATCTTTTTGGCACCTATGGCTTTCTACAGTCTGGCTTTTACTAGTTTGTGGTCTGTACAGTCTTTTTAGTATCTTATTTACTGAATATGTAATCAAACCAAAGTGGTGTCTTAGCTAACTTGCCACATCCTTCACAAAAAACATAGATCTGCAGTTGCTTTCATGTCAAATTCCTTTCTTGATTATAGACCAGGGTATGTGATGATGGTACAGCTGGTTCATTAAGTTCATTTGGAGGAACTGGATGTGTGCAGATAATTTGTAGATTACTCAGACAGGATCTCAGTTGTAGTAGCATTTTGTTCCAATACAATGCTAGGCCCAAAAATATGTACAGTTCCAGAAAAGTAAATGCTCAAAGCCTTGCATTATGCTGTGGCTTTCTATCCAACCATTATGGGGTAACATGATAGGGCAACAAAACACACACTAAGAAGATTAATATTATTCAAGTTAACTTGGAATTATTTACAGTAGTTCCTTATTAATGTAATTTGCTAGACTTTTTTTTTACTTTTGTCAACATTCTAAACTGTACTTAGGGCATGTTCAAAGTTTTGTGATGGAGAAAAAAACCTTTACGCTTGAGCTCTAGACCTTTCTGGATTATAGGCAAGCTGTGCGCCACAGCCATATGAACTGCCGTTCAGAAACCCAGCTACTGATCACAGCTTTACTGCCTGCTTGTTTCTCAGTCTCATCTGGCACATTAAAGCATGGTGTTCATTTTCACTCACTGAGCGTTTCGCTTGCAGGCCTGCTGCACCAATCAGTTAACAACCTCTGGGCTCCAACCCCAAATTCCAAATTACCTCATATGACTTTGCATTTCATTAAACTTAGATTGTTTTTTAATAACCCTGGACACATGGACTGGAACAAAATCAGAATAAATTTGAACTGGATCTATTTTTCTTGTCTAAAGTTATGACTGCTATGCTGTTCTGCACGGCGAATTGCCCAACTGGTGTTGCATTTTGTTGCTGAGGTGGAAAGGATACATTTCTTTTTTGTTTCTCTACATTGTAGTGGGAAAGCACTGAGAAGGAAGTTCTAAAATGCAAACACATGTGGTCGTGTGCTGTAACACTCAGAAGAAAACGTTTGGTGCAGAGGATGTGATGGTGCAGTTAGACACCTGCTTTCCTTGCATGCACCAGAAGCCTTCCTCCTCCAGGGTTTCTTCACAATAGCTGAATCTTGTGTAAGTGTGTGTGTGTGAGTGTGTGTGTGAGAGAGAGAGAGATAGTAAACCATCTCTGTAGAAATTTAGAAATCCGCATTCATGACATGATGCTCTGTTGTAAGAGTCTCTGAATAATTCATTGTTCAGGCACAAATCACACTAAATGCTACTATGTTTGCACACTCGACAGACAGATAGAGAATTATACAGACAGATGGACATATAAACAGAAAGAAAGGCAGATAGATAGACAAATAGAGAGATAACTAGATTGACAGACAGATATGGATATGTGGGTAGATAGATCAATAGATAGATGAATAGCCAAATAAAAAGACACAGCTAGACAGACACAGACCAATAAATAAATAGATAGATAAATAGCCAGATAGATAGCCAGACGGACAGACAGACAGACAGACAGACAGACTATCATGAACGAATGAATTGCCCATGCTACGCAGTGCAGAATTATTCAGACTGAAGGAGGTCAGTACCAGGGGAGTGTAGGTTGACTCATTATAGAGGCTAACGTTTGACTTGTGGGTAAGAATGACCTCACATAACATTCTTTGTCATAGTGCAGATGCATCCTTATAATATTTTTTAAAAAATCATATATTATGATAGTATACATGCTTGCATCATTTTCTATACCTATTGCCTTTCCTTTGGAAATGAAAGAAAGTAAAAACCTCTGAGCTGTGTGGCTTCTCTGTGTTTGCCCTTTGCATCTTCAGTGTGAGCCTTATCAAAACCCTTTCACCCTGAGCCTGACATTTGATGGAGGAGTTCCAGTGAACAGCAGTCCTCCCCTGCGGAGCGTCAGTGAGGTGAGAAGATTAGACATGATCTTCACCTGCACTGTGTCAGGGTCAGTAGTGCAATTGGCTAAATGTGAATGATGAGTTTTCTTGTCCATGATAGGCATATCTGCTCATGAACATGACAGTGTCTGTTCAAGGCCTGGATACTACATAGAGACCAGTCTGTTATCTGAGTGTCATGTTGATGTGTTAAAAATGGTGCCAGTAACAGCTGCCTGTTCCATAGATATAATCTGAGATGAAAAAATAGCAATAATTTGTGATTCTCATCTAAATTTTAAACTCAGATTTTTTGTTTATGGTGACAGTAGTTGCATGTTATTTTTGAGAGACAACAGTGTTGAAGCTGTCATATCAGACAGAATAATAATGGAGGTTTGGTGTTGACATAAAGAGTCAATGGTAAAAAAGACGTTCGTTGATTAGTAAGGACACCGATCTCAAAATGAATGGATGGGTTTAAACAACGGCAAATATTTCCTTTCAAGGAATTTGTGGACACACAAATTTTGAATGTCATTCTTCCAGACCACCAGAAGGCTGTGCTATTTAGTTAAAGCAATTATAAGGTATTTTTCCATTATGAAATATTTTATGAAAAATGTTTTATTCAATTTTCATTGAGCTATTGTTAAAAGCTATTTTGTTTAAAAACTGCATTCATTACAATTAGAGTAATCATATTTTTGAATCAAGCACACACATTATGTATAGCTCAGCCATTTAATATATACTGCGTGGCTCAGGACTGATTCACTTGAACGGAAAGATCTGAGCATTGCTGCTTTCTGCCGATTACTTGCATATGGCAACTAGGTACAACAATGCAATTCAAACAAAAGATAGTTTCGTGAAAACAAAGCATTCATGATCACATGCTTAGCTATTTCCTACAGAGATGATAGGAAAAAAATGCAAAACGCATTGGTCAACTTCTTAACTGGCTAGGTCCTCAGTGTCTAAGACAGAATTTTGCTAGGAACTTTTGGTGCGGGTCACTAGGAGTGATACAGTTTGCCGGATAAATGAGTCAAATTCCAGGCATATATTAGTGGTGCTAATGTTGCGCAGAACTAATGCTACGTTATCACAAAACATCATAAGCTAATCCAAACGTCCAAATATATTTGGCTTGGCATGGCATGGTTATGGCATGGCTGCTAACAGCATTTTATTTTCTCTGGTTTTATTATTGTCTACAGTTTCTCAGTTCTTCATTTTTGTCCTAAAAAACTGATTCCTCTTTTGACTTAAAGGTCCTGAAGGCAGTTTTAAACTGGAGGACTGAGGCTAAAACTGTGAACCTTAAAGCATGTATTAGTGTGTATGTCTGTGCTTTATCACAATGGATAATGAGCAAGTCTTTTTTGAGCATCAAATCAGTATAAACATGCACTGGCACTGATAAATGATCAAATAAAGGTTATGTAGACAACATCTGAGCACAGCATTTAACTGTTTGACAGAGGGAATCTGAGCTAACTTGACTTTTAATGGCCTGACCTAGTTGTTTTAAACACTTACAAACAATATAATTTCCTTCAGCATAGACTTACATTCCTGACAAAGTACCAACCACAGTTGTGGATTCTTTGGTGGTAAATGGCGCAGAGATTAGGATAAAATAAAGCTTTATTTCAGCTAAATGCCTTGGCCCACAGGCTGGCAGTGGACTAAGTTAAATAACTGAACTTGAAGAGTGTCAATGACTGATCTGCAGAGCGATGGCAATACTGTGTACACTTTAAGACATCTTCAGATTTCAGAGTCAGGTTTCAGACATTACAACGTATTTTCTCCATATGCAGAACAGCATTGGAACATGTAGCCACATGATTTTATTGACTTAAAATCTGACTTGGATTTTGCTTGAATATTTTTACCATACATTGTGTCCAGCAGGATTTTAATTTACCAAGTTTATACCAGTCAAATACCAGTACTGGCTAATGAAAATGGTACAACAAAAAGAAAACAGACATTTAAAAAAAAAACTCAAATATAAAGTAGTGGTCATAGTGGCTCATTAACAGGTCAAAAAGCCATGGCTTTAATACAAAAACTGGTCTGCTAAACTGGCTTGAGCTGACTGTACTTTTTAAAATACTAGACCAGCAAGAGCAGACAACTGCAGAAAGCAAAGGCATTGCAAGGCCTCAATGAAAGGCCCACAGAATCAGAGCCAAAACCACAGAAGACTGGGAAACACCGCCCCATAGCACATCTGATAAAGTAGGTACACTTAATATTAGTATAAACATGATAAATTATCACCCAAAATCTGCAGTTTGTTATGCACTTTGTTTGAGTATCTCACCTGATCCCCACAGACCAAGCTTTGGTGTACAGCATTATCAAAACTTTATTATGGCTTAGTCAGTTTGGCTTGGCTCAGAAATCGCTTCAGACAAACTATAAACCGGGAAAATCATAAAATCAACCTGACGTGAGGAATTTTCCTGCCCACAAAACCAATTTGGCTCAATCAGCTAGAAATGCATTCAAAACAGAGTGATGTTTTCTCTCCGACCAAAAACGGGGGGTCAATTTGACTCACTCAGCTTTTTCTCCCTTCATGTTCAAGTGAGCAAGTGAATATTTAATTCTTCTCTGGTGTATAAACCTTGAGCCTGCTATTATCGCTCAATTAAAAGGAAAAGATAGCATTGAATTCTCTGCTTTACTGACGGGTTCCTTTGTTTGCGTTCCAGATCTTTCAGAGAAAGGTCACAGTACAGTGGACTCATATTTCACCCCACTTTTCAGCAATCATTTTCACATAACGTGATGGATGTTAGTTTGACAGTTT